AACGCTCGATCATATTAAACCAAGCGTTGGAGATGTGTCCAATTATTCAACCCCCCGGGTGCAATGTTCTATCAACAGCTGTGGTGTGACGTATATCCCGATACCGATGATAAGCCTTATTTTCTCATAGTCACTACCAGCAGCATGTCCAATAGATCGCTTTCTGCGACGTGAATTCCTACTGTGAAGATATTAACAGCTTGCGCAAATGTGTTCACTTTTCTTCTGAACAGTCATCCTTGTGTACAAAATTCAGTGTGTGCAATCTTCCATGTCCGCAATATTCCCCGTCCGCATTCTTCCGTGTCTGCAATCTCTCGCGTGCGCAATCTTCGTGTTCGCCATTATGTCTACACGCTTTTTCTTGTTCTCAATTTTTGTGTGTGAGTCCTTCGTGTGCGCTTTCTTTTGTTCAGCGGTATCACTATAAAAACTGCACAGATATACAGGCAAACATTTCTACTATTGTGCATCTTGAACTTTGGACTGTTAGCTTAGAACACTTGGCATTAGACTTTCCGAAGCAACTGCAATACTGTATTTGGTTTTTACCTTTTTCTAGCGCGAAGTATAGCTAAATGGTAGTGTGATCTTGACAATAAATTATCATCATTTATTTGAACGTTACGGGCATTGCCTCGATCAGTACCTGTCTGGTTATTGATGAAACACATGCGGTTGTCTGCCCATTGCATACGCGTTAAATTGGCTGTATTTTCATGGTGAACATGTTCGGTGCCTCACTGTATATCAAGATAGGTTTAACCCTTTGAGTTTCCAATTAATTTACCTATAGCTCGACATGGACCTCCAAAGTTTACCCCACACATGGTAGAGAATGTATGGGAAGTATGGCACATACCTAATTTTTGATAGAATGCCATTGTACCTATCCTCGTGAGTGCTTTCCGGAATGACACTTGCACTGAAGCAGTATTACATGTTAAACAGAGTGGTACGTATCAGTACCGCCAGGACACAAAGGCTTAAGCGGTTGCATCCATCGATGCTAATGGTTCTGAGATGTCAGTGATGTTAATGAGTGATAGGGAAACATATTTGTTATAGCTACTTCACTTATCGGCTGACAGCTCTGATTGATGGCTCCTCGTATATATCTCCGAGCTGGTTATACTTTGAGATCACATATGTTGCGGTGTAGCTCGGGATTCGATAAACTTCGGGCTTATGGTTTTTTGGAAGCAGTGTAAAAATTGCGATCTAAGGTGATCCAAGCTAGCTCCGAAAGATTTAATGTACTAAATAGCGCTAATGCAGCTGCATCAAAGGAGTGTAAGCAATCGCTCGTGGTGTTAAGTGTGACGCCAAAGCCGACTTCGCTTCGAGGTCAGAGGTTTTACGGCTACGTATCCGGTGATCAGTTCACTGAAAACTCAATACTGAATACTAAAAAGAGAGCGAGTAGAGAAATATCTGTGTTGTTGCGTTGTAGATGGACCGGGCAACTGCGAGGAAACACGTCGCTGATTCATGCGCGCTGACAGCCAATAACAGTTGCACAACTTCTCCTTCTTCTTCTTCTCCGTGTAGCCCGAAAAGTGGGCTTCAAGAAACCTCTTTAATTCTGACATTGATTTCGCCTCGACTAGTGTCTCTCGCAATTTGCTCCAAGATTTCATCATTTGACTCTCAAAGCAAATACGGTGAGCGGTACTCTTCAAATCGGGTACCAGTAGTTCGTAACGGTATCCACCTGTACAGCTTGATGCGCGAACGTGCAACGGCGGCTTAGGTCACAGCATGAAAGTACGCCGAAATCCTTTACGGAACTAGTGAAATGCAGCACGTAGCCAGCCAAGGTGTGCGTATAGCGCGTTGGTCTAACGCTATATCCGATACCGATTTGAATGGTCGATCAAAGGTTTGCGACAGAACACATTGAAATATGCTAAAAAAGTTTATTGGAAGGTTGCTAAACCTTAAGAGTAAAAGTAAGACAACGGAAGATGTGTAGCTATAGAAACGGCGAATTTACTGCACACAGGTCAATGGAAAAATAGTTTATTACGGGTAAAAAAGCATCGCTTAACAAGTCCCGTGGATGGAAATTATTGCGAAAATCAATGGCATAATAAAGTACAATGCATTGTAGTGGACTCACCATAGACTCAAGTGGAATAGCGGTGATGTTCGCGTATTAAAACTACAAATCCATAAATCCATTGCTTAGTCGTTTGGCAAGACACCGTTTGATTGCGTTTTGTAGCCCCTGGCTAACAAGTCATAAAAGGAAATGTAAGGGAGACAGTGCATTGTCAACACGCAGTTTTAATACCGCCAGATTGGGAGCAGAGACGACATAATTAGCGAGGGCGTTCCATGGCTCACACACGCGGAGAGAAAAGAAATTTCTACGGCATTCGTTTAACAACGAGTCACTACAAGCTTGTGGACTCACCGAGTTTGAAGTGTCAAAATAATAATCCACTATAACTCGGAGGGAATCATGAGGCATGGAGTATTTGGTTAAAAGAGTCACTGCCCCTTGAAATTCGCATGGCGCAAAGTGTTTGAGTTTGAAGCGTCCAAATATACATCCACTGTTGAAATAAGCGTGGGGGAAAATTATTTTTAAAGTATGGATTTTGGATCTCTCAAAATTAGACTGTACTATGGGAGATAGTGCAATGAAGTGAGTGCACTATCAACTCGATTTTTGAACTCGATCAGGTTGGGTGCACTGACTACAGATTCTGGGAGAGCATTCCAGGCTTGGCAAACACGCACGGAAAAGAAATTCCGTCGACATTCCAAACGGCTGTACTGCACTGCCAGCTTCAGATGATGGCCTCTCAGATTGTTGTTGTTGTTACTGAGCTCCAGCAGATGGCGGCAGGTATGATTGGGGTCTGTCAGAATCTGATAAGCCAAAATCAAATCTCCCCGTAGTCTTCGATATTGACCACTAAATATCCTGAGCGATCTCAGTCTGTCTTCGTAGCGTAACTGGCCTAAACCTTTCACGTTCTTCGTTGCGCGTCGTTGAGGTTTCTCTAAATCAGAGAGGTCTTTCCTCAGCCACGGCTGCCAGACTTGTATTGCATACTCCACGTGTGGTCGTATGTATGCACCTAGAAGTTGGTGAAAAACGGATGGATCGAAGCGTCCAAATGTGCGCCGGAGAAGGCCCAAATTTCGAATGCTCGCGTTCGATGCTTTCTTTGCCTGGGCTGAACAACCAAGGTCGGACTGAATCAAGACTCCTAAATCCTTTTCCTCAGCAGTTGTGTGAAGCACATGGTCACCCAGTTTATAGAAAAATGCTGATTGGTGACGTAAGTGTAATACTCTGCATTTTTCTGTGTTGAATGGGAGTTGGTTCTGAACTGACCACGCATACACCTTATCCAGATCCTCTTGAAGTATTGCGGAGTCGTCGGGTGTATTGATCGCTCTCCAGACCTTGATGTCGTCGGCATAGAGTAGGCAGTTGGAAAGAATGAGGGCCGCTATGTCGTCAATATACATCAAAAACAATCGTGGCCCCAGTACCGATCCTTGTGGTACACCACATTCGACTTGGGTTGGATGGGAGCGGGACCCACGCACTTTTACCTCTAAGCTCCGGTAGACGAGAAAGCTTGTGATCCGTGCTAGGAGCGGATCACCGATGCCGAAGCTCTGAAGTTTGCAGATCAGGATTCCGTGGTCTAGTCGATCGAAGGCCTTTGAGAATTCTACGGTGACCACGTCCACTCCTGCACCGCTGTCAATTAATTTGGTCCAACTCGATCTTGCTAGCAGCAGATTTGTGGTGCACGATCGATTCCGTCGAAAACCATGCTGTTCATGTGCAAGGAAGGCAGACTCTTCTAGATAGGCTGTTAATACGTCAGCAACAATAGCTTCCATAATCTTCGACAGGACCGGGAGAAGGGTTACAGGACGGCAGTTGGCTGGATCAGAACTGCTACCGCCCTTGTGGATTTGGGTTATGATCCCACATTTCCACATCTCGGGTACATACATCTGATCGAAGCAGCGTTGGAAGAATCGTGCGAGAGGCTCTGCTAAAATTTCTCACATTACCGCAAGGGACTTAGGGTGAATGTTGTCGATTCCAGGAGAGCTGTGCTTACGCATACACAACAACTTCTTACATACCATCCCCGCAGTAACAGTTATGTGCGTAAGTTTTGGTTGTAAAACAGCTGTGACAAAGGAACAGATGACCAAGGAATGCATTGAAAGTTCGAAGTATATTGTAGCCGCAAGGCGTTCGCCTCATCCTCCGTAGTCAGCGTCATGCCATCTTGCGTTTGAAGAGGAGGGATTCCCCGTTTTACTTTGCGCAGATTGTTTACATGTTGGTAGACAGGCTTATGATCGAAAAACATGCGCTCCGTCAGGTGCTGTTGGTATGTCAGTTTATCCTCACGAACGAGTTGAGTGCAATGATTACGTTGAATTGCATAGGCCGTCCAGCTCTCCGTGCTCGGGTGTTACTTGTAGATCCGCCAGGCCGAGTTCCTCACTGCCATACATTTCCGTGTCCTACTTCGCACAAATGAAACAGTCTTCTTCGGCGGGACAACCTTGCTTTCGGATGGCTCTTCGACGAGAGTGCTAAATTGGTTGACGAAATGTGGCCATGCGATTGTCGGGACTTCGTCTGTCAGAAAGTTCCAGGTGGCTGTCTCTGCAAGTCGAGCCAGCTCATCGTACCGTATGATAACTCGGCTTTCCCGTGTAGTATCCGCCGGGTATTCTGCGTATCATATATAATCGAAGAGTAAAACTGCATGATCGCTGCAACCCAAAGGAGCGTCGATGATTACTTTCTCGACCATGAGTTCTTCGTTGGTAAATATCCGGTCCAGGATGGACGGGCTTTCTGCTGCGCTGAATCTGGTGGGATTGTCGATATGGCAATTAAGCGGAAAACTGGAGACAAGGTCTTGTAGATCCGCTTGGAAACTTTCTGTAGGTGTTGCTTGGACATCCAGAGCGTGAATTTGAAAGTCACCACTTATAAGAATATGGCTGTATCTCCGCCTGATCACAAGCCTCAGCGCAGACGCGAGATTGAAGTCCATCTCGGGTGTAGAGGGGGGGGGGGGGGGGGGGGGGGGGGGGGGGGGGGGGGGGGGGGGGGGGGGGGGGGGGGGGGGGGGGGGGGGGGGGGGCGGGGGGGGGGGGGGGGGGGGGGGGGGGGGGGGGGGGGGGGCGGGGGGTGGGGGGGGGGGGGGGGGTGGGGGGGGGGGGGTGGGGGGGGGGGGGGGGGGGGGGGGGGGGGGGGGGGGTGTGGGGGGGGGGGGGGGGGGTGGGGGGATGGAGGTCGATAAACGACCGCCACCAGACAGACGTCGTTGCCTGTTAAACGCAGACGACACCAAAGAGTATCCTGCACGTTACTGTACACGTCTTCTATGGGCTCACATTGGAGGTCACTGCGGTAGTACAGAGCCACCCCGCCCCCTTTACTGGATCGATCGCGCCGAACGACGGACATGCCTGGTAGCTCGACCTCCGTGTCTGTGATATCCGGGCGCAACCACGTCTCCGTTATAGCGACGAGGTCACACGATTTGGACCTTTGACGTAGTCGCAGTTCGGGTAGTTTGTTAAGTAAACTTTGAGCATTAGTGTACATACAGGACAGCTGCTTGAGCACCAAAAGAGCTTGTGGAGGATTACACGAAGTTGGATTTAAGCCGGCCGATGAAAGGCCGGCACCTGATCGTTTTTTGCGCAGTTTATCGATGAACATTTTGCACGGGCCTGCAGCCCACCTAACGTCGTTCCTGCACACGCAGAACGCTCTTCAATAGCGTCGTTTTCAGTGGTTGATAATCTTAATGCAGTGTCTTCGGCTCCGTTTATTTTATCACATTGAGCCACAGATGGTGTCACATCCTCCGGTGGCTTCGATTCAATAAATGGTACCTTAAATCGTAGTTCTGATGGCAGTGCATTGTGCATTTTATGCCAGTTACGCATTAAGTTAGCCACCATCTGCTGGGACTGAACCACAAGTTTCAGTATCCTTGGGCCATTACCTTTGTAATGAGGTGAAACGGGCAGTCTAGAAATCGACTGAAGGATGACGTCGCCTGCAGATAGAGTTTCACGGATGTACCGCCATTCTTCCAGATCGTGAGCATGCGCCTCCTCGTCCCTAGCTGTTGGTAGCTCGGGCACACCATGAACTAAAATGGTTTTTCGCCAGCTGGCCGTGTTGCGATCGTCTAAATTGTTTTTTTCTCGCTGACGTTCGCTCCATGGAACATCCGGAAAGATGCGGATCATACTGTCTTCACCTCGGAGGTGATATGCCGATAAGAGCACCGCCTCTACATCGTCAATGGATGCCAGTGTTATCCGCAGAATTCTGGGCTCACCATAGTGAGCGGAATTTGGATGTCTCGTCACACGCGTGATGTTAGTCGGCTTGACCCTAGCACCTATGCGATCGCAAATGAGATTCCACTGGTTCAGATCGTCCTGTTGCTTACTTCTCAGAGAATTTGCTTTGGATTCAGGAACGTTGGTGCATATGAGTGTTAGAGCACCGTAGTTCCTCCTGGTGTTCGGTAATGTGGGAGACGTCGTGATGGATGGACTAAAACAAGTCTCTGAATTTCGTGCTTGGTCTTTTACACATGTCGCAGATATTGTGCTTAAAGTCTTGTTTACAGTGTCTCTAGCAATAGTCGCTGCGTAAGTTGATTGGCCTTTAGAGATACTCAGACTTTGTTGGTCAGTCGGAAGTCTGGTTCTTACTGAGGCTTTGGATAAGGGCGGAATGGCTGAGGAACTAAGGATGTTTTGTTCGTACGTGATGCCTGATTGGTTCGGGGTTCCCAAGATATTTGCCGCTGTGATTTCGCGAGAACGTCTGGCTCTTTTCTTCGGTTTAGTGGCGGTGAGTACGGGAGATGGTGGAGATACAAACCTTGCTATAATAGCCTCTAAGGAAATAATTCTTTCATTTAGACGTAATTCTACTTCTGCAATCCGACGGTCGTAATCTTTCGACAAAGCAATTACGCATTTTACTATGGGAACCGTTGTGCAGTTAAGACAGAACGAAACAGACTCGGACAGATGGTTGTGCTTGTTAGCCTCAGTAATCGGACTATGATTAACGGAACACAACGCGCAATGCTGGCCCGATTCCACTGTCTGGGCATGTGACTCAGCTCCACTTGTAACTTCTCTCCGTGTTACATTGGTCATGGTCGGTTGCAGCGGTTCACGGGCTAGTTTGGTGTCGTGCGTGGTAGGTGTGCTTCGCCGTCTTGTCCGCTTGTGGTCGGAGGACACGTTGATCGACTTACGCGTGATGGGCCTGTGCGTCATGCGGTCACGGCCCGGTTCACGGGCTAGTTCGGTGTCGTGCGTGGTAGGTGTGCTTCGCCGTCTTGTCCGCTTGTGGTCGGAGGACACGTTTATCGACTTACGCGTGATGGGCCTGTGCATCCTGCAGTCACGTTTGAATAGGCCGTGTAGGACGTGCTTGGTTCGTCTGAGTGAGTGAATTGATCTGGCCGAGATGTGATGGCGATCGTGAAGTTTGCTGGGCGCTTGAGTGCGCAAGTTAAAAATGAATTTCTTCTGTAACTGTTATGCACCGTGGTGCTGTGAAGCGACTGAAGGCTTGTTAGCAAGCGGAAAGATTTCTCTATCGAATGATGTAAAAATCCGAAGGGTTGTAAAAAAGATCCGCGAAAAGCTGCGACTGGCGAGGTTTTGCGTGTGAATTCCCCGGCAAACTCCGCGAAAAACACAGACACAAGCTAGAGATTGAAGCAATGGGAATAATCCGTGTGGAATGGATCCACCGTGTAGAGAAGATGATTCCGAGTAGAATGAATGCACGCTGGGTGATATGCAGTGAAATGGTGATGAATGGTCCACAAAAAGGCGAGAGCCGCGCGGATA